ACGGATAGTGATTTTGGAGACATGAAACACGTGTCTACAAAAGGGGATAGATCACCCATTATTGTCACGGTACTTGTGGAAGGCCAAGAGTTATCAATGGAGCTTGATACTGGGTCAGCCGTGTCGGTGATAAGTAAAGAAACCTTCCACAGGTACCTAAAGGGCGTGTCCACCAAGAGTACCACCCTCCAGTTACGCACTTATACAGGGGAGGTAGTAAAACCCGTTGGGGTTTCCCAAATTAAAGTACAGTATCAGGAACAGATACATGTTCTCCCTTTGTATATTGTCGAAAAGGGAGGACCCACCTTGTTTGGCCGGGACTGGCTAAAGTGCATTCGCTTGAATTGGCCTCTGTTAAAACTGGGAACGGTAGACAGCCTAGACGACGTGCTGGATAAGCATAAAGTGGTTTTCTCAGAGGGTCTTGGGAAGCGCACATCGAGCTAAAAGAAAATGCACGGCCCAAGTTTTGGAAACCTCGACCCGTGGTGCTAGCACGCAAACCGGCGGTGGAACAAGCCCTGGATGAGCTAGAGGCTGAGGGAGTGATAGTGGGGGTGAATTATAGCGAATGGGCGGCGCCCATCGTGACTCCAGTAAAGAAAGACAGCAGTGTCAGGGTATGCGGGGATTTTAAAGTAACAATTAACCCGCAACTAGAAATCGACGAATACCCCCTTCCACGCATAGAAGACATCTACGCCAATCTTAGTGGGGGTAAACAGTTCAGCACTCTTGATTTTCGCCAGGCCTACCTCCAAATGGAGGTTGATGAACAGTCCAAGCATTACCTTACTGTCAATACTCACCGAGGGCTGTTCCAATACCAATGCTTACCGTACGGTGTGGCCTCGGCACCTGCCATCTGGCAGAGAGCGATGGATCAGGTATTACAGTGCCTCCCAGGAGTACAGTGTTACCTAGATGATATCGTAGTGACCGGTAAGTCTGAAAAAGAACACCTGGATGTGCTGGACAAGGTGTTGCAGAGGCTGGAGGAGTATGGGCTAAAGGCCAACAAAAGGAAATGCAAGTTCCTCCGAGACTCCGTGGAGTATCTGGGTCACGTGAGTTCTGCGGAGGGTCTACGCCAATCGCCCAAAAAGACTAAAGCCATCGTAGAGATGCCAACACCCCAGGACGTAGCACAGCTGCGCTCGTTCCTAGGCATGGTCCAGTACTATGCAAAGTTCATACTAGATCTAGTTACGGTCCTAGCGCCACTTCGTCATTTGCTTGAGAAGAATGTTAAGTGGACCTGGTCGAAGAAGGAAGCGGATTGCTTTGAGTCTGTTAAGAAGAAGCTGCTGGAGGACAAAGTACTAACCCACTACGATCCCGACCTCCCGCTAGTTATGGTCAGCGACAGCTAGCTCATCGTATGGTCTTGGAGCTGTCCTATCTCATCATATGCCGAATGGAAACGAGAGGCTGATCGCGTTCGCTTCTCGTTCATTGTCAAACACTGAAAAAAAGTATTCGCAGATCGAGAAAGAGGCGTTGTCCATCGTGTGGGGAGTGAAAAGGTTCCAGACGTACCTCGAAGGGAGGAGCTTCGAGCTAGTAACAGACCACAAGCCGCTGAAATATATTATGGACCCTGGGAAGGCAGTACCAGTTACCGCTGCCGCAAGGCTGCAACGCTGGTGCCTTTTCCTGGGAGCCTTCACGTATACCATCCAACACCGAAACACCAAACAGCACGCGAACTGTGACGGACTTTCTCGCCTACCGCTGGCGGAAAGCCCTAAGGACAAACATAATGAAATCAAATTTTATTTCATGACTGTGGTGGAAGATCTCCCAGTGAAAGAGAAGGAGCTCAAGAGACACACTCGCAGAGATCCAGTTCTGGCCCGTGCACTCTAATCAGTGTAGAAAGGAGGGGAGGACAATACGATTACTCCGGAAATCGCCCCTTATGATCACCGCAAGGATGAAATAACCTTACTGCACGGAGAGATCCTGATGTGGGGAACCAGAGTTATTGTTCCGAAGAAGTTGCAAGACAGGGTTCTGCAAACCCTTCACGAGGGACATATCGGGGTGGTTAAAATGAAGGGCCTCGCGCGCGGTCACGTGTGGTGGCCAAACATCGATAAAGACATCGAGCGTGTTGGGAGACAGTGCGAGGGCTGCCAAGAACTGGCAAGAAATCCATCATCTGCACCCCTACATCGCTGGGAGTTCCCCGCGCAACCTTGGCAGCAAGTCCACATAGACTTCGCGGGACCTTTCCAGGGGAGAATGCTCCTAGTCTGCGTGGATGTCCATACGAAATGGCCGGAAATAGTGGTCATGAAGAACACTACTGCTGAAGGAACTGTGGAGGCTCTGCGCTCAAATTTTGCTAGACTGGGTCTCCCAGAACAAATAGTGTCCGACAACGAGCCGCAGTTCACTTCTGCAGAGTTTAGGAAGTTCACAGAAGGGAACGGAATCCGTCACGTTACAGGAGCGCCCTACCACCAAGCAACCAACGGTCTGGCTGAGAGACTAGTCCAGAGTTTTAAGCATGCAGTGAAAGCAGATAAGTCGAATAGAACGCTCGAACACAAGATCCATCGGTTCTTGCTGGTGTATCGCACTGCGCCGCATGCTACTACCGGTATAAGTCCAGCGCAGTTGTTGTTCCAGAGGAATCCAAGGACCAGGTTAGATCTCCTTAAACCGAGTGTCAAGAACACTGTAGACGGAAAGAACCTACAAGATGAAAATAGACCTTTCTCGGTTTTCCGCGAGGGTGACCGAGTCTGGATTCGGAACTATCGAGATGGTCCCAAGTGGGTTCATGGTACTGTTCTGGAGCAGGTGGGGCCGGTGTTATACAAAGGCCAGACACAGGAGAAAGTGTGGAGGAGACATTTTGAACAGCTGCGTCGTGACCAGTTCCAGTTGTCACCTAGGCAAGAGCCCCCGGCTAGCACAGACGCCGTGAACTTGAGAGCGCCATCAACCGCTGATCCTACCTTGGATGTCAGTCAACCCGTTGATGCTCCTAGGCCGCAGCAGAGTCAAGCAGCTGAAGGTCTAAAGACTACTCCCTCTGGTCGGGTTATTAGGACCCCAGCTAGGTTCAAGGACTTTGACTGTTCTGGACGATGAGCATAAGAACGCTTAATACCGAACATTGTTGAGTTTTTCATGTATTGTTTTCACTAGGAAAACCATTGTTATGTAGCTAAGGGGGGAGGAGTGGTAGAGTATTGGGATACCTGTGTTATCACGTGTCAAGAGTAATAAGAATAAACGTGGTTCCGCCATCTTGTCTAAAAGTCCTCGTGAAAACTCAACAGAGAGCTCTTTCAAGTATCATAAGTAACAACCAGAAGCTGCCCTTGGTTCCTACAAGTCAACATGGTCCTCAGGGTATTGCTGTGAATACTTCAAGTTCGGCAGAATGGCAGTCAGGTCAGGCACACACGGTTAATAATTTTCAACAATGTACTGTCACGTTCAACGTGGTTCAAGGCCAATCAGAAGAATCAGAAAGATTGATTCAGATTCTGAATCCCAATAAGTTGGCTTAAATCAACTTTTTGTCGGCGAACTGTTTTAAAATATTTTGACCCTTCCAATGGGTTGCTTTGACATTCATTCAAAGTTCGCTTACGCACAGTTTACAATGTCGCTTCTTGATTCGCTGTTTAGCTGTAAAAATGGTCTTCATAGTTGTAAACATTCAAACATTAACATGGCTTTTTACTTGGAATGTAAAATTATTTTCTATCATTTTGTACTTAAAAAACATATAAATAAAATTTTAAAGCCGTAAGAACTAATTTATGCATTTCAGTTGCGCGATGGACTGAATAGACAAAGATGGACGGCGTCGCCTCGCATTTTTTACTGAAATTTTGTTGAGTGAACTATAAACAAAAAATCGCACGATCTTCTCGTGCAATTTGGAATAAGGCTCGTGCAATTACAAGAACTCTCAAAACATTACTCGTGTCTATCAATTTCCCTGCGATTTCCTATACTTATAGAGTGCAAACAATTAATTCGTGAAACATTAATTACTAAAAAGTACAAAATAGTGCTAATCAAACAATAGAAAACAATGGAATTTGCATGAAATTGTGCTATTTAGTACTACTAAAGTTTCGCGGATTTACTTTGGTCACTCCATAGGAATTTGAGTTTATTCGCAGCATACTCGCTGCGTTCTGGTTCCATTTGAGTTTGGATCATTTAGTGACGCTATTCTATGTTCGATAAGAGTACATGCCATAGAAAAGGGACCTAGATTTGCTAAATTCTAATATATATATTTAGGCACTGCCTAAAAGCGGAGCTCCCGATACGGAAGTCACAGGGAGAACAATTTGTACGATGGCCGATACGATGGCCGAGGAGGGCCACTTCCGAGTTCCGAGTTCCGACTTCTGACTTCCGAGTTCCGAATTCCGAGTTTCGAGTTCCGAGTTCCAAGTTTCGAGTATGCGTGGGGGGACGGGACAAAAGTGTTCCCATAATGCGTTGGGGGGAGGGGAGCAAAAGTAAAATAAAAGTAAAATGCTCGACTGATACCTTAGTATTTAGCTGTCAAACTTGTCGAAGTGATCTTGTACAGACCCCAAACTGAAACACTACTCTTACACAATTCTACGAGTTCATATGAAAACAACAATATGTCTTCAAGTCGGGCTTCGTTTCTTCGACTAGCCCTTTTTAAATTCGTTTTTTGTAACCAACGTTTTACAGTTCGAAGCCTCATCGTAACACCGTGAACAGCAGCTAGAAACCCCAATATTTCGTAGTTCGAATAACCTTGAAGGAAGTAAGCTCGAATTAGTTCCTGTACATTTAACTCTCAGCTGTGCAGTGTTAACGGAAGTCTGTCTGAGCCTTGTACTGTGAGCTGCGGTGTACCACAGGCAGTAATTTAGGCCCACTTTTATTTCTCCTGTGTATTAATGACTTACCAAATTGTTTGGCGCAAGCCATAACAAGAATGTTTGCTGATGATACCAGCATCAGCGTTCATGGTAAAAATGTAGGAGACTTGGAACCAAGCATCAACACTGAACTCGCTAATATACATCAGTGGTTGTTAGCAAATAAGCTAAGCTTGAATGTAGCGAAAACGGAATTTATGATTATTGGGTCCCGCCAAAAGTTCACAGTGCAATGCGATTCCACTATTAATATTGCGATTAATGGAGCTAGCGTTAAACAAGTTGATCACACCAAATCTTTGGGTGTCACTATCGATAAAAACCTTAATTGGTCAGAACATGTTAACGACATTTCGAAGAAAATCTCATCAAGTATAGGGGCTCT